CATCCTAAAGTCAAATACCGATTTGACTGGCATTATTTTATGCGGTTTCTGCGACGCATCTCAGGTTGCCTACGGAGCCTGCGTTTACATGATCTCGCGTGACAAAAACGGCTTAATTGACTCGCATTTAGTCTGCTCAAAATCCAGATTAGCTCCTCTGAGTTCAATGAGCTTACCGCGTTTAGAATTGTGCGGCGCTTTACTTCTTGCGCAGTTAATAAATCGTGTTTTAAGCTCGCTAGGAAACAATTTTATTGCAGAAACGCATCTGTTCACGGATTCAACTATTGTTTTAGATTGGTTGAATTCTGAGCCGAGTAAATGGCCAGTATTTATTTCAAACCGAGTCGCAGAAATCCAACGTCTCACCGACAATATGATTTGGCATCACGTGGATACGGAAAGCAATCCAGCCGATATAGTTTCGAGAGGTTCCGATCCTCTAATCTTGCAAACTCAATCCCTTTGGTGGCATGGACCATCGTTTTTGAAAACCAATTTTGAGCATTGGCCCGCCAGCCAAAGTGTTTTTATTTCCGTACCTGAAGCTAGGAGGGAAAACATAATAGTTTCATTTCCGGTCGTGAGTCGAAATAATCCAGAGGCGAAAAAAGAAAACGAAATATTTTTTAAATGGTCATCTTACAAAATACTTACCCGAACTCTTTCTTATGTTTACCGATTTTATAATAATATTAGATTCAAGGAAAAAATAAGTGGTTCCTTGTCAATTAATGAAATTGAGACTGTGGTTTTTCATCTATGTGAAATTGTTCAACAGGAGCGCTATTTTCAAGAAATTAATTATTTAAAAAACGGCCAACCTTTAAATAAACAAAGCTCTCTAATTAGCTTAAATCCATTCATTGATAAGCATAACTTATTACGCGTAGGAGGCAGGTTAGCAAATTCGAATTTGCAATTTCAACAGAAACATCCTATCATATTGCCAGGTAGGCACCGGTTTGTTTTCTTAATAATAAACCATTATCACAATAAGTTTTTACATGCTGGACCGCAGTTTGTTTTAACACAAATACGGGACAAGTTTTGGATCGTCAACGGTCGAAACGAGGTTAGAAGAATTTTATGAAAATGCGTCATTTGCTTTCGGGTCAAACCCCTAGAAGCAAAACAAATGATGGGCTCCTTACCTTGTCCCAGAGTTGTGCCTTCGCGACCGTTTCAAAACTGCGGCGTAGACTACGCGGGACCTTACTTACTAAAAGATGGCAAGACCCGCAGTAGAATATTAATTAAAGCATATATTTGTATTTTCATTTGTTTAAGCACTCGTGCTGTACATGTTGAGCTCGTAACCGAGTTGAGCACTGAAGCTTTTCTGAACGCTTTCAAACGGTTCGTCTCTCGACGTGGCTTATGCAGTAATATTTACAGCGATAACGCAACTAACTTTGTAGGGGCTAATAACGAACTCCTCAAACTGTGCCAGATTGCGCGAGATTCTGCCTTAGAAAAATATCAAGCTTATTTTGCCGAACATTGCATCAAATGGCATTTCATACCGGCTCGATCTCCACACCATGGCGGGATTTGGGAATCCGCTGTACGATCTTTTAAATATCACTTAAAACGTGTCATTGGCGAAATGCATCTAAATTTCGAGCATCTCTATACTTTGCTCACGCAGATTGAAGCAATCCTGAATTCCCGTCCCATTTTACCACTTACAAATGACTGCAACGATATGGAGGCGTTAACACCAGGACATTTCCTTGTTGGACAGAGCTTGGTTGCTGTTCCTCAATCCAATAACATCGACGTTCCTGTAAACCGATTACGACTATACACTCAGTTACAACAAATCGTCCAAAGGTTTTGGTCTGTCTGGAGTAAGGATTATCTCAACTCCCTACAGCAGAGGTCCAAATGGCGTTCCCGAGAAGAAAATATCCGTGCTGACACTCTGGTCTTGCTCAAGGAAGACAACGTGCCGCCAATGCATTGGCCATTAGGTCGTGTTGTGTCAGTGTATCCCGGAAAGGATAATCTAGTGCGTGTGGTGTCTGTGCGTACAAAGGGCGGTACCGTGCAGAGAGCAATCACAAAAGTGTGCCCGTTACCCATAAATGACCTTGAATTAGAATAACTGTCCTGATTAAAGTATAAGTTATTTCATTTTCAGAAATACCGAAAATGTATCTAGGTATTTTCTTTATTATTTGTTAGAATAGATTTCATTGTTTCATTTCATTGTTTTGAAATATAGGATATTTCAAGGCCGGCGGTATGTTCGGTTCGAACTCTAAATTGCCATGGCTTGCACGCCAAAATTAAAAGTGGCAACATTGTTCGTAGGTTTTCGCTGGACAATGTCAAATGTCAAAAATTCAGTAATGAGCTTCGTACCACGCCGTGCGGGTCGATGTACTTGTTAGCTCCCTTTAAAATCGTTTTTACCGTAAATAAATCAAAAATCAGTTTCAAAATAGTCGTTTATTATACAGTCCACTTCCGTAAAAATACAGAACCAGTGAATCAAACATGTATTATGTGTAATTATTTTGAATATTTTATTATTTTTTCAACTAATGGATAGTGTAAGGTTGAATGATTTTATAGAGTTGTATACGAATGCTAAAAAGTTTTATGTGAATATTGGTAAAGAATCAATCTAAAGTCGCGAAAATTTAGGGAGGGTTAATAAATTATTAGTAGATACTGAATTATTAGAAAAGAAGCTTTTGAATTTAGAAACAGAATTGTGAAATCGAAAGTGAGCCCGAAAATTTTTGAGGGCATTAACAAATATATTGAAGGAATAGAAAAATATCTTAATGCTTCTAGAACTACGCTTTTAGATAGGTTAAATTGTATAACAGAAAAACAAGCAACATTACCTAAAATTGAGATTTAAACTTAACGATGTCAGATAAATTTGATATTAGAACGGCTGCATCCTTATTGCCTTGTTTAGATGGCTATGAGAATACAACCAAACAATTAATTGATTCTATTCAACTTTATAGTAATATCATAGACTTAAATACTACGAATAGACGTCCAGTGGAAATAGCAGCACAAAAAATGCCTCAATAATTCATAAGATGGCGCCACTCGTATTAAAAATTCAAAGAAAACTGTGCTAGCACCCTTGTGTACGAGCAGCGTGTCATTGTTTCCAGGACAACCGCATTCCGCCTTTTTTCTGATGTTTCGGTGTTGTCAAATTTATACGGACAAAAAACTAGACAAGAATTCTCTTTGCTATTTGCGAATTTCGAAGAAATAAATTATTGCTTGGATTTCAAAGAACTAATTTTCAAAATGTCTGGAAACAAATGTTGCTACTTTAGTTGTGGCAAAAGTCAGAGAAACGACGATTGAGATTATTTCGGATTCCCATTGATAATGGAGAAATTTGTAAGAAATGGATCCAAAATATTGGTAAGGGAAAACTTATTGTTTAAAACTAATATGAATTTAATTTGTATAAATGCCTGGTTTATAGGGTTATTGTGCCGGTTTTCGATATAAATATAAAAAGACGGAAGAATTTTAACTAAGTAAACTATAATTTTGTAATTCTTTCAAACATGTTCAAATGTTTGGAAAAGTTTGCGAATATTTTTCTTAAGTTTTTAATAATTGCATAATTTTGCTGGATTAATGCGTTTTTAGTCTATTTTCTATCACCGGTCGTATGATTTTCGACAAAACCGGCCATTGAGGAATAGGTTTTGGGTTTTGGGTACGCGGATACGCAAAAATTTACTAAAACCATAATGGGGCTCAAAGTATGAATGTTTTTTTCCAGTTAAAAATTAAATAACTTCTTGGAACCTTTTTTTTATATATTATCTTCACATGCCTTTATACTAGTGAATGCCCTTCATTCCACTGATGACTGAGTACTGAACCAGACTCCGCTGTTGTCTCAGCTATTATTAATAACCAATATTTTTTTTTTTATGGAAAAAATCTTAACATTAACAATTTATTAATTTGCGTATAATATTTAGTATAAGATGCAGTAATAAAAAAAATTGGTGTCTTAATGTATGGTTTGGCCTATTTAATGATTTTGGACTAGTTATTTTAGAACTATTGGCAACAGCGTAACGCGCGAATTTGAATTATGACAGAAATGCGCGCCATCTCGTATCCAGCATCCAAAATACCAAGGCCTGAATTGAATTTGGAGGCTCGCTTTCGATAGCGAGCCTCCAAATAGCGTCGCAGATTTGTACCATTTGACTGGACGTCTATTCGTAGTATTTAAGTCTATGGTAATATGCTAAATAATGATGAACAAAAAATTCTAATTAACTATGTTCTAAAAACTAGGTTAACTCAAAGTGCAAAATTGCGATTATCTTTCACTTATAATACTGTGGAAAATTTAATTGCAGACATAAAAACTCATTTACTGACCAAAAAATCTACTGCGGCTCTAGCTACTGATCTTCATAGTTCTCGGCAAAACAATAAAACAATAGAAGAATACTCAAAAAATACAGAAGAACTATTTATTAACTTAACTCTGGCCCAGGCAGATGGTTTTACCGTTACCATAACGCTATTGTTAATTTTTTTAAAATCTATTTATTTTATTTTTTATTTTTTTAGATATGGTGTAAAGGATATTTCACAAAAGGTTGACAAAGTAATTGTCAACCTGACCTATTCTCCACGAGCGGCCACTCTAAAAAGAAAATTTGGCAATTTACCAGTTCGCTACATGCGAACTAAAATCGACAGCGAGGAGGTGTTTAAGCTCCTGGAGCCAGTTGTGAAAAAATTCAAATTTAACCTTTTGGACGAAAACCTAGAGGAGTGGTCCTCCTCCCAACACGAACGTTTGCGGATACTCCCTAGAGTCAAGGGAGTGAAACGAAAATTGAAAATTGATGAAATCTTTTCGACCGATGAGGATGCTAATGATACTGATGATGATGATGATGATGATGATGATGATGATGATGATGATGATGATGATGATGATGAGGTGGCAGAGGCACAACAGCAGCAAGCCTCAGCTAGTCCAAGTGCATAAGATTAACTATGTAAGTTAGTAGAAATAATAGAAAAACTACATAAATTTTTTTAAATTTTTTTATTCAAAAACCAATTATTTAATAGAAATACACTCTCTTTGGCACAAGTTAAGTTATTAAACAAGTGGAAATGGAATGAAAATTATTTGATACAGTTCTTAACTTTTTGAAACTTCGACATCCCAAGCTATCAATATCGACAATATTATTATTTATTAAATTACTTAACCATACTTTTTTATTATAACCTTCACAAAGACAGTTTCATTTTTAACAATTTCAATTATAAAACTTGTTATATTTTCAAATGGTAAAAAATTAAAGTCAAACCTATTCCAGTCCAAACCATGAAAGTTATGGGTGGTCCAATGTACTTGTCGTCTAAGATCTTCTCCTAACCACTTGGAATTTGTAGGTAAATTGATAAGTTGATGAAAAATTTGTCCGGTCGTCTGATTGAAAATAGCAATTTCCTTACAAATGGAATCGCTATCTTTGTATTGAAATCATGAACGTCTAGGATGAACATTTTCTTTTTTCTTTATCTTCTTCCGCTAGATCTAAATAGCACGCACTGTGCTGGTCAATGGATTGTATTTTACAAGTCGATCGTGGAGAATCAAACAGTAAGCTATAGTGTTTGCTTGAACCGCTTTTTTCTTTTCAAATTCTACACGAATATCAACAGCACCACCTTTTAGGATGTCTCCACCTTGCCGAGAGCAATCAATGTCTACCAGAGGAGCATCTTTTTTAAAGTTTATAGGATAGAAGCATGGTTCACTTTGTTCACGATAATAGTAGGATTTTTGGAATTGTGCATACATTTCATATAGGATTGCAAAATGATTGGAGTCAAAGTCCAGGTTGAGATTATCGTAGGGAAAAACTTCTAAATTTAAATAGACTTTTAAATTTGTTAACGTTATGTGGTCAAATCTGCTCATGTTTTTTGATGCCACATTTTTTCTATTTGTTTGGAACCCAATAATGATAAAACGTGGTTTTTCCAATTGATTGGTGGACTTAACAGCCCATGTCTGATTTGTTGTAGTTTGTAGTTGAGGATATTCATGCAATTCCCAGCTTCTTAATCCATTAACGCCTGAGTTTTGTAATTTGACATTGAAATGTTGTTAGTGGTTTGAATTAGTTTCACTCGGTGGATACTAAAAAAAGGTTTCTGAAAAAAAAAATTGAATTTTGAAGGAAATAGGGTGGGTCCATATAGTCCCGCTAGGAGCTTTTCAGTTTGATTTACTCACGATTTTTTTAAAACTCAAAAATTGATTCAAATGATTTTATTTCATTCTACGTTACAGTAATAAGTACTTATTTGTCTAATTGCAATGGAAGTCTTTGAAGCAACTGATGCAAAGCCCAACTTGGCATTTGTAACACATTGTTCTCCCTTTCCCGGAACAATTTGCGGCAGCACATCGCTTTCTTTTGCCCTCTGGGACTGGAACCACGTAAAAATCAAGTCTATCCTGCCTTATGTTAGCTGCAACACGTAGCTTTTCACCCGCAAGAGTAGATGGTCTACCTCCCTGACTTGGAGGATGCCTGAATCTTGTTAGGTATGACTAGAATTGTGATAAAAAAATTGAAAGGAAATATATTATTCCATATAATCCTTACCTGCACAATGGCTCTTCGAAATTCTAGCTGACTTATATTTCGACCTATCTTTCGATAGATAATCCAAGCATTTTGCACTGCTTCGTCTAGAAAATAGGTAAATATGGGCCAGTACCATTTCTTCCCCCGGATGCCTACCCGATAAATAAAACAATAAAACAGCGAATGTAAAGATGTATAAACAACAATAATAATTCTTACTTTGATATATTTTGATCCATGAGATCGGTGCCTCCCATGTTTTTGTTGTACTCAGAAAATGCATATGGCCTTGGAACGGAAAGTATTTTTTTTTCGTTTCTGGAGTATCTGTCCACATTGCGTAATGGCATTGCTCCAAACGATGTGCTGGCAATAGTAACTACGTTATTGTCTTTCCATCTTATGAACTGAATACCACTTTTTGCCTCCAGAACAGATGAGTAAGTGCCCCTTTTTTCTTTCCAAATTTCTTTTTTGGACTGTAGTGGGCACTCTTTTGGCAACCGGTTCTCACGAACTGTACCCGTTGCCCCATATCCGTTATTTTTCAAAGCTCTTAGGAGATTTTTTCCCGTGAAAAGATTGTCAAAAAATAAATTATACCGTAGATTTCTTTTAGCTTCATCCAAATCATTTATCATTTGTACAAGGGGAGCAGCACACTTTCCAAATAACTGTTCGTACTGTATATTAGCTCGAGGATTTCTTCCCTGGTATACCTCAAAATTGATCATATACCCTGCCGGTGTATTGAGACTCCAGACTTTATACCCGAACCGAATTGGCTTTCCGCGTATAAACTGCTTACAGCCATGCCTGCCGTAATATCTTATCATCGATTCGTCGTAAGACAGATTTCTTTCAGGTATAAAGTGAAGCAAAAACTTCTCTTTCAAAAAATCTGTTAGAGACCTCAATTTATACATTTTGTCCTCTTTGTCTATGTCGTTGTTGTCGGCAAAATGAATGAATCGGCATATCTGGAGAAATCGGTCTCGTCTCATTGATTCGAATACCAAATTATTTCTCATATCTGCGGCAGTTTCCCAGTAACTTCGTTTAGATGGTAATTCGTTATAGCCCGACAACAACAATATTCCCAAAAATACCCGCAACTCATCCAAAGAAACTTGAGGATCTGCGAAATTTTTAAATAAAGCATATTTGGTGGTATCATTCTTGATATTTCGCAGTAATTCATCCGAAAAAAACAATTCAAATAGTTGAACTGGATCCATGTCAATATACTGTGAATAATTACCAACTGGAAATGGGGGATTTGAAAACACTAAATCAGGTAAATATTTTTAGTAATATTGAATAATAATATTGAAAATATATACTTTTTACCAAGTCGTAACAATAATTACATTTGGGTAAAAATTTCTAGAATTTACTAAAAACCACTTACCGTAATCGAAGTCCCCAATTTTCATCCATTGAAAAATTGCCATAAAAACAAACTCCTGACACAACACGCTAAATCTCAAAATACGCATCAACACTGCTCTGGTCTACTCTCTAGCACCTTAGCAAACATACTAACGCAAACTGTGGTGAATCGGTTTGTTCTTGTCCCCACGTCTTCCTAATAGTTAGGAAGGGGTAAGATGGGTCCATATGGGCCCACCAGGCGCTAATGGGTTAATGCAAAATTTAAATCCAAATTTTTCTCAAAATACTTATAAAGACGTAATTTTTGATCATCCGACACTCTAACATGTGGCATTTTCCATAAATTTTACTTAGCGTCACTTTGTATGTTTCTTTTTTATCTTCCTGTTCAATGTGAGCATTGACGTCAGAATTACTTCTTATCAATACAAGTTCCTGTCGCACATTCAAAATAATTTTATGATGATCTTCAAAAAATCCCATTACAAGTTTCAGAGGTATACATGCATTGAAACTTCCGTTTCCATCCGAAAGTGCAGGATTTGATTTAGCATCCCATCCAGCATTCACCAAAACATTATTTTCGCTTTCCTTGAATGAAACATAACCTTTCATTGTCGACGTAATTTCAGGATTTCGTACACGATCAACAAGAACGCCTCCTAATTCATAACGAATTTCATCAAATAAGTGGGCCAATCAATTGTTGATAAAGCTTACATTGTTGCTGAACGTTACGTTATCAGACAATAAAAGTTTACCTTCAAGATACAAGAAACTCTGACTGGGTAATGTATAAACGTCCTGTGTCTGTATTGGAATTCGGATTTCATCATTGTTATTGAATGTTGTTGATGTGTAGGGTTGATGCGTGTGCAATTGATGACTTACAATTGAATTATCATATATGACACTTTCGCTTACTTTCAGAATATTACGACTCATTTTCTTATTTTTCACCTTTTTCCTTATACTTAAAATTACATCTAATAGATATAATAATTCTTCTTACGCTACCACCCACTCGTAGTTTAATGTTGACCCAAAATTGTATAAATCGTTTTTTTAGTGAAATGATGATACTACTGCTATTATTACTGCACTTTTAATTTAAAGCTTAACGAAATTAAAAATTTTTATTCTGCACTGTTAGACGTTTGACTGATTTTTCAACACTGAAGCGATTAACCTTCAACGACTTATTTTTAAAAGCTTTTTGTGTTCTGGACTCTGTTGTCTTGTTGTCGTTATCATTGTTATAAAAAGGTGCACTAAATGAATTATGATTATATAAAAATACAATTTTTGTTTGCACTATGACGCTTTTCTCAAATGCAATCGCACAGTTATCAATTCACTGCGGAAATTAATGGCTTCTCCACTCTGATCCGTGATTTTCAATAAAATTTCATCAATGTATCGCGTACTTATTAGCAAATAAATGACATTTGAGGGTTTCTCAACAATTTTAAATCCCGGTGGTGAGGTGGGATAGAACATGTGCAGTATGTGTTACAGGATCACCGTTATTGTAGGAATTTATCACTAAATTACACTCGATACAAATTGCATTGACCTCGAAAATATCTACTGGGTTTTCCGACACGTGTTTTCTATTTGCTTCAAGTTGTTGACCTTTGAATCCCAATAAACTTCCAATAGAGTTTTTCTTGTTGAAATGAATGTCTTTGTTACTCAAAATTTTACACTGTAATGTATTGTGATTGGCGAGTATGCTAATTTTAAATCATCTTGTTTATAATTGTCTCTTACGTAAGCATTTAAATATTCATTGATGTCTTTTATCTCATAGGAGCCTTCTGGAACTGTTATCGATGACTTACCATCAATGTCATAGTGTAAAGTATTATTTGAACTGTCAGTGTTTGGTATGGAATTGTAACTTTCAAAATTGATGAGACCCGAATCGAATTGCTCGGACTCGTTGAGCACTATATGTGGATGAATATTTGCAGA